TGCTATCCGTGCATATTCCATATACTTAGCTCCTATCCATCCATACTCAATGCTTAGTTCCTATCCATCCATACTCAATGCTTAGTTCCTATCCATCCATGCTCCATACTTAGCTCCTATCCATCCATACTCAATACTTAGCTACTATCCATCCATACTCAATACTTAGTTCCTATATCCATCCATGCTCCATACTTAGCTACTATCCATCCATACTCAATACTTAGCTACTATCCATCCATACTCAATACTTAGCTCCTATTCGCCCATATCCGCGAAATAATTTCATGCATTTCCTAAACCATCATCAATCAGTAACCTTTTCGGCATTAGGCCTACAGATCCTTAGATCATTTGAGATTATCGTGCGCTGCATAAATACTGCACTCGCTCACATGCTCACAGCGATGAAAGGCAAATTTGATGACAGGAGTGCGGAGATCAGGCGAGATCCATGCTGCTGGGAACATGGAGCTCACAGACCACAAAGCTAATTTCCGCGATGTAACCGCATCCTATAGAATGCTGCCAACCCACGGAAATATAGAGAGCGCCTATATCTAATTATTTTCATCTATATTATTTCTATTGATACACCCACCTATATTAATTGCTCGTGGCGCAATGTCAAACAATAGTCAGCATTGAAACAATTGAACGATAATTAACATCGACGCTGAAAGAGCTGTGTACTTTAACACACTAAGTGATGAGATAAAATGCCAACCGAGGCTCGAACGTTGGAACAGCGTTGAGCGCGAACGAAATTAACATGAGCAATAAGAACAGACATGCGTTTGTTTGTGAATGTTCTCGTTGTTAGAGTTGTCACTGATGTGTGATAATTGCGTGTAAACTGGTAAGGGTTGTGAAACGTGTGATGACACAGTTATAGCTAGGATGCTCATCTAGAACGCACCCACATACACCCCGCACGCACGCACGGACGCACGGACGCACGCACGCACGCACACACACACACACACACACACACACACACTATATATATATATATA